AAAAAATTGAAAATCAGTAGAAATCAGCAGAAAATCCTCAAAATCAGTTCCTGAATTCAGGAGAATTTTTATCAGGAGAAAAGTTTGAAAATCAGGAGACTCCTGGTCAAATCAGGAGGTTTGGCAACCCTGGATGTGATCCTCCCAGACATTAGCAATGTTGAAAAAAGAAGCTGAACAGAATTTGTTTTTGATTTTTGTACAGATAAAAATTTATGTTCAAGATGTCAAAGATGACGGTTAATGATGCATTAATTTGTCACAGTTGTCATATAAAATCAAAATGCATAGCGTGAATTAATCAAGTGAGAACTTTGGAAAATAGTCGATATCAGAGTTTGTGAATTAATTGAGATATGTAATAGTGCATTAAGATTTGTTGTTGCAGATTTTATAGATACGTACAGATGATTTATTTGTCATTCAATTCCATGCTTATAATTATAACAATATTAAATTCAGGAAAACAAAAATTTGAAAAAGAAATCTAACAAGAAAATAGAAATAAGGCAAACGAAAGAAAAATTCTTTCCTAAATGCAGGAATAAATAAGAAAGATCGTATCTCTGACATAAAGAACACATGTAACTTCTACATTTTAGTTTCAAACAAGCTGCGCTGACAAGTTTTTTTTTCTGTTTCTTTCTTTCTTACATTTTCATCAGAATGCAACTGTCAGTTGAAGATAAAAAGAAAGTAGAACTTCTTCGTTTATTTTGTGTTAATTAAATAAAACTTCAATACAATTGGAAGGGAAATATGAATAATGAATGATGTTCAAGTTCAATACTTCTTGAAAACATGAAAATAACTCGCGGCGTATAGCATTTTTATTTTTTGGATATGTTCATTTTTATTATGTACAATTTTCGATTGTACAATTACGTTTCATCAATAACAATATGATATTCACAGTTCTTATGCTTTTTTTTGTCGAAAGTATTTCTCTTTCATTCTTAACAATCCTATTGAAGACTTGAAATACTCTCAATAGTTTAGAGCATCTGTCAAACACATGCTACAAAAAAAAATAATTATGAGGGGTGTCTGAAAAATTTTATGCTTCAATACAGGCACATACTCCGAAATCGATTACTCTTAGAAATGTTCTAAGAGAAGAACTATGCACAAAAAATGACAATTTCACGTTGATGAAAAAAAATGTTTCGCTTTGCAAATTGTGTTCACTTAACTCTCTTCAAAGCACGTTTTGCCTGTGAGGTCGGCTAGAGACACTTTAATTCGTTCGCTTTCTCTCTCTCTCTCTATCCTTCGATATGTTTCTACTTCTTTAATGTTGACCTCGTAGTTCAATCCTAGTTCATTTTGAATTAGTCGAATATTCAGGATTATTGACTTGAATATTTTTCGTTTCAGTTTGATTTATTTCTTTCATCATATTTGGTTCAATTCTTCTAATCGATAGTTCTAGCCTTACATTGATACAATACTTTTTCTTTCTCCTTATCTTCGAACTATTGAAGGTAACATATACGAGTGCAATTTGGCCATCTTTGCAAGCTTGTCAAATATTCAACTATTGGGACTCTTTCAAGATTCATCAAATCCGTTTGAATCAAACCCATTATTCATTCATTCTCGAGCTATGTTCAAAGTAGCAATATTATTATCACAATAATACAATCTGACAATTAAAGGACAATCGATCGGATGGCAGACTATAGAAACCGATGGTAATGTAATCAATGTTCTAAGTAGTACATGTCGAATAATATTGTCATCAAATATTGTCGGTATTGTCGACCCGGCACTTTCACATGAAGCTCATGTTATTGTTAATTTTGCTAAAATAATTAGTATTCCTGTTATATAGTATTCTGCAACCAATTCAGATTTATCTGATCGGAATATTTATCCTATATTTTACCGTACAGTTCCTTCGGATAATACAGCCGCATTATCGATTACAAAATTATTCATACGATTTAATTGAACATTCTGTATTACTATTTATCAAAATGATGTATTTGAATCTGGTGGTGAAAAAGTAACGTATTCGATATAACGACATATTAAATTCAAAGTAATTTAAACAATGAATTAATTAGTAGTTCAACATGACTTATTATACTATGGATTGAATCCATTTATACATCTCTCATTTTACAATATGCCGCTTGATCATGATATACTCGGTTCAAAGGTTGCATGAATATTACTATCAAATGTTTCATTGAATTCATTCGATCAAAATTCATATAAAAAGTTGATCAGCATACTAATTGTAGAACCTACTATTGGAGACATTGTCAATACACCTATTAATTCAACATTGTTAGATATAGTGTACAGTATTTGGAAACGTTACGAATCTGAATCATTTTCTGGATCGAAAAAAGTGAATTATCATGCATTATTTGCATTTTATGCAACTTGGTCATTGTTTCAATCTTTAGAACAATTTTGTTCATTAACGAACACTAGATCTTTCTCGTGTGCATCCGTTTTCAATTCTTCATTCTGTTTTGATCATCGTTTTCTTCATACAAAATATGTTTTTTGATACACTTATAAATATGACACTTCTTGATGTATCTGGTCCTATACAATTTAATGTAAATGTAACTGATCAAATCGATGGTAATTAGTATTTAGTACAAAATATTCAACGATATGAAAATCATATCGATTATGTATCTGTATTAGAATGGTCTGATTCAGACGATTGGAAATTGTTTTCACGAAGAACTATTATCACATGACCTGGTAATACGTTAGTATCTCCTGCTGGTCATGCATCTCTTTCTAGTACTCGATTACGAATTTGGTGTCATTCAATCGAAATCTTTTACAATGATTACAAATTTTATAGATGAATTTGGTCAAAATACAACAAAATTTATTGTTTTTGTACCTGATCTTACTGATCTTTTATAGGAAAAAATGGAATTTTTGAAATTTGATTAACATCTTCAAATGAGACCTATGCTGGATTAATTGGAGCAGTAATATATGGTGATTACGACATTGTCATTGGCAATATTACTATTATAGCTAGCCGATGAAAACAAGTCGACTTTTCAGATTCAATCTTTGACAATTCTTTACGTATCGTGATGCGAAAAAATACTAATGATGATGCAGATTTTCTCTCATTTTTAAGGCCATTTTCATTTAGTCCCTGAATATTATTTTTTATTACAAGTATTTATGCTGGTGCTTTGATTTGTCTATTAGAACGACAGAAAAATGAAGCATTACATGAAAAATCAATTATTTCCTCAATTGCTATGAGTTTATGATATTCTATCGGTACTATTGTGAGATATGATGCGCGGGTGTGTATGTGAGTGTGAGTGTAGGTGTGGATTTAGAAGAAAGGATAACCACAGCGTCCTCACTCACATCCCACACCCACACCCAACCCTAACTATCTTATAAAGAAAATCTGTTTATCTTTCAACATGTATAAAAAAGAGATATGAGTTTTTGAAAGCTTCAAATTTCGCTAAATGATCCGAATAAATGCAAAACGGTTTCATATTAGAATGATTCATTATAGTATGATTAATAGTAGTCCATTATCCCACGTCAGTTGAAAATTATTGATCGATAAAAACGTTCAAAATTAAAATTTTAAACAAAAAAGGAAACAACAAGATTCACTTTATTTCACTAGAATAAATAGAATATGAATTGCTCTAAAGCTCAATATCTTTCTTTCATTTAATAGTCTCATATCATGCTTTCTTATGAATTCATGAAAGTTAGAACATGAGTATGAAAGATATTTCTATGATTTCTTTGAGATAAGTATTTTTTCACCAATCTTTGTTCCGAATTAGAAATTCATATCGTACTTCTGAGATGAAAACATAAACACTTCTAATAGAATTTTCTAAGATGATTAGTTTTCACATTTATTGATAGCAATCTCAAATTATATACTAAAAAAATATTTCAACACACTCATACATTATTACTATCAATAAATTCATGATTTTTCACTTTATGTTGACTTCTATTTTATTTTATTTTTAAACATATTAATCGACCATTACGACTATCTGTAATCAGAGAACTTTCCATTGACTAAATTCGGTTCATTTCAAAAACTATGCATTTGACTTTGTCAGATTCTGTAATTTTTGTTCAAATGACACTATAGAGAAAAGTAATGCTTATATATATATAAGTACAAACAAGAAATATATTCTTTTATTCATATTTGAGCAATGAATATTTGGGCATAAAATTATTTTTTCCTATGTTCTATAAAAAAAAAGTCAAGTTATTTATTCTTGAATATGGTTTCATTTGTTTTCAAGTTATTTTAGTTAATACATGTTTACCAACGATTTGGTTTTCTTTTTGGTTTATTATATACATTTTCTGATTTCTTCATATTAACAATACGAAAACTCTCTAGAATACCAAAACAAAAATTCACATACATATAATAATAACAAAAGATTTCGTTTGATTAATTTTTTCATATCAGTCTATAGACGTGTTAGTCTTTGTTTGTGTTCGAAATAACCAAAAAATATCTTAAGTTCTTACATTTTCAAGGAAAAAAATCAGTAAACTCTATAAAATTCAATGAGATATGAAACGAGAAGCATTTACTATTTTATATCTATTCATACGACTATAGAGTTTAGATAGAAAAAGAATATTTTTTTAGTTAAAGTCATCTTCTCATAAGATAATAACAATATAGTTCATTCTCGAAGATATAAATTTCATATTTAAATCTTACCAAGAAATTCATTAGCATCAATTTTTCCATCCATATCAAAATCCATTTCAGCAATGATTTCTTCAATATATGCTTGATTTACATCATTATTATCATTTTCATCATAAAATAAAAGATTAAGAGCATCAGAAAAATTCATCATGACTTATAAAATTTTATATTATCTAAAGCATAATCTTCAATTGTAGTATTATATAGAACTCATTGTGCATCTTCTTTGACAAATTTTGAAACGCAAAGTAAGCCAAGATAAATCAATTTGAAGAATATTTTTCATTATATTAGACCAAACTGTCGGAGATAAATGATCTACAGAGACAAATAAAATTAGATTTTCAATAAATTTTTATTCAAAATTTTAATACTATATAGTTCAAGTTTTATCTGCTTTTTAAAATTCTTTTTTAAGTTAACTTTTCTTTGCTACAATATTCTTAATTAAGGCTTGATAAACTGAATCTTCAAATAATGTTACTCTTTAAAGAAAACAAAATTAAAAACACAATAACAAAAGATATATTTTAATTATTTTACTGTTTATTAAAACTGAATTTGTCATTGACACTAATATCCTGTAATGTATATGAAAGAATTTGTGGCTCGCGTATCATATAATCTCTAAAATAAACTTCGTATTCAAAAATAAAAAAAAACAGCAAATATCTTTATTATAATTTCTAATCATCGTGTAAAAGCACCACAATTAGATCCCACACAATAATTCGATGCATTGAAAAGAGTTAAAACTTTTGTGTTATGATTGAAGTCATAACTTTTTTTCTTTGACTTGATGTAAACGTATAATCATGTATCAATTATTTTTCCTAAGAAATTCTTCTGTAGTATCGGAACCACAAAAAAAAACAACTCATATATCTATTATCATTGTTTCGACAATCCAAACGATTCTGAGGATTTGAATCACTCCACAATAAATCTATTTATATATAGACTGAAATGAATAAGATAGTATATTTCTATTAATCGTATCTACCATTTGATAAACAATATATAAAAATCTTTATCTTACATCGATTTCTTGCAAGAGAATATATTTGTTTTAAATTAATTCGATTAGATTTTCTCGTATAAACACATGAATAAATTGGTAACCAACTAAATACATCTTTAAATAGATCAATGAATTTTCTAGAAATTATAAACAAATTGGATATTTTTTATTAATTTCTTCTTTAAAATCAAATCAAGCTGTAATCATAATATCTTCATGATTGTCCTTTTTATATTTTGAAATAAAAATAAAAACTAAACATTATCTGTTTAATGGAAAAAATTTATCTCAATTAAGAAACACTGAACTTAGAGAATAAAAATAGTCCGAACTAAAAGAATAATTTCAATGGAATTTAAACTTCGATCAACAAAATTTCGATTAAACATATATGGATTATCAATGGCAGATAGTCCATTCTAGAAATAAATAATTCAAATAGAAAAGCGAATATTTTATTATTAAAATGTTAATCTACGACATTAAATATATGTAATACATCAGGTAATTGTCTATGAAGATCATCAATAATAAATATATGATGCAAATTAGATAAATTAATATGATTCACATTTAGTAATGTTTTAAGTATAGCACATAAAATCTATTAATGAAAAATTGAATAAACTAAAGATTATATGAAATGTATTTGAATTATTTGATAATTTTATTGGTTATTCAAAATATTTTCTTCTTACTACGAAATAGGGTAGGTTCAATTACAATCTGCTGTAATAAAAATAGCTTTTTAGCAAATAATACATTGTCTGAACTCATGTTAAATTGTGGCTTATTCGCAGTGCTTATTTTATTTTTATAATACAGTTTTAAAAATAGAATATTCATTAAACTCTTATTGTTGAGATTTTCAAATCATGAAATTCTATATAAACAAACCTCTCAATTCAATTGTTTTAGTTTGTTGACGAAATTCTAAATGAAATAATAATACTTTAAATACATGATTTAGGAGTAAATTAAAAGACGGTTATTTTTCATTTGATTATTCTTAATATACGGAGAAAGATATTTTTCAGTGTATTATTTTAAAAATAAATCATATAAAATTTCAATACAGTGGTCGTAACATGATTTTTGACATTGAGACTAATTTGATTAAAGTACTGAATACGATCTTATACTTTAGAACTCGAAACAAAAATTAACTTGATCGGAATGATTCAAAATTTTAGAAATAAAAAGAAACTAATTTAGTCATGAATCATTTAATTTTCTATAGAATTTTTGTATGTTTTCTTCTATTTTTATGTAAGAAACTAAAAAGTTTCATATGAAATTAGAATTCGAAAATTAGAATAGCTTTTGTGAAAGTATTAGCTTTATTTTGATTAGTTTTGGATTGAAACGAATAAATCTCGATACCAGATCTGTTGAAAACAAAAAAAATATTTCTAAATGATATTATTTCATAAATAATAATGTAGTTATATCTTGAAGAAAATCTGTTAAACCATTTCTGAAGTTGATCTCATGGTTTAGGTACATAATAAAGAATTCAAGACAATAGTTTAATAAAAACGATTTTGAATTCATGGGTAGAGATTTAAAACAGTGAGCTTTGATATTGAAGGTTTGTGTATAAATAGTTTACATGATATTAAAATATCTTAAAATTTTAAATACCAATGATTGACATCTTTTTAAAGTTTCTTATAACAAAGCATACAGAAAAAAAAAACTTTTTACAGAAATAATCAGAAAATTTACTCAAAACTTCGACATTGATTTTCATAGATACTTGTCCAACATGACAATTACTTGTAGGTGTGTGTCATAAATCATTTTTGTTTTTAATAATGTCGAATCAAACTTTCAAACCATAAAAAACCGCCACTCTCTTTCTTATTTCTATTAAAAATTATTGAAAAAAAAAACTTCAACTAATATAGACATTAGTATGATTAACATATGTCGGATAGAAAAACAAATCTTGTGAAAATTTTTTATTATGATATTACTTAAAGTATAGTCAAATTACCATAGTAAATAGACCATTGCTTGTCTTCTCCAAGTACGTTCCCTTACGTGAGGAGAAAAATATTTTCCTATAGAATACTAACAATAATATCATCAACTGAGAGAATGCAAAGCACTTAATCAAAACGTATAATGTATTGCAAGATTTTCCATCTGGCATAATAATTAACATAAAAAGAACAACTGATGATGTTATATTGACATTACTTCGATCAGTAATTATCTTATCCTAGATTTAATATCATTGGCTAATCATATTATTCAGTTTTGGATATCTCAATCTATCATGACACACAGCATCTTTCTTACCTATAGTGCTCAAATCCTATATAAATAACTTTAAAAGTATTCTATTATGTTTTATACTTTATGCATTTGTAGTTGTTATTAAATACTTTTGTCTTGCTTACTTCTCCTTTTTGAAAAGCTTCAATTAAATCAACAAAAGCACTTCTCTTCATGGAACTTTCGATACCTAGAAAAAATGTATGGGAATTGTGATTCTATTAATTGTAAACAAAATATTCGTTTACGTGTTCCTCGATAATTAGCTTCAACTTGAATATCATCTGGATTTGTTAATTTTAGAAGTTCTTTTTCTTCTCTATAAAAATAAATTAAATCTATTTATTAGTTTTTTCGTTTATAATAATGCATTATCAAGAGGTAATCCAGGTTTTGAAGTAATTTTCTAACAGATGATGAAAGTATATCAGATGCTTTCAGTAATTTTTCAAATATATTCCTAAGCTATTAAATACAAAAAGGAATCTGTATAATAATGTAATTATTTAAAAAAAATGTATATATTTTTTTTTGTTACTTTTGCTTAAGTTTGTTCATTGGAATAATCAAGTTTTTCGTGTATTTTCCATGCTGCTTCATTTGTTAATCTCAATCTAGCTTCATAATTGCGAAATGCACTTTGAATTTTTGTTGCAACATTATGAACTAAAATAAAATTATTTTTATTTGAAATCTCTTCTGCATTAAATATTTCCGATCTTTATTTCTTATTCTAATAGAACATTACATAAAATAAATATTCGTACATGATGATGACGACGATGATGATTATTAATACATTTTCAAATAAATCTAGTCAGTCTAATAGGGATGTCATTCAAAGTAGAATCTGAAATAGGGTGGGGTAGATGTGGCTGCGTGTATGGGGTATGGGTATGGATAAAGAGAAAGCCTACACGCACACCCACCCGACCCACATCCACATCCACACCCACCTTAAGTTATCTTCTAAGTTAGTTGAAAAAATTGAAAATCAATTTTTATTTCAAATGCAAATAAGTGTGATAAAATTATGTCGAACAATACGATTAGGTGTCACAATACTCAGTAGTATTTGCCGATTCTTTTGCCACAATTCAGGATAAGATAAGAGTATAATGAATGGATAAAGTAATTGGACGATAAATGGCATTAAATAGATGTAGTTCACTTGTTGTTCGATAAGAAAATAGGGTAACCAAAATACATTGATTACTAACACCACATTTAGCGGCATCCACAAAATGAGATAGAGAAGTGTAATCGATAATAATTGTAATGTCATCTTTCGATCACGCTGCCACTTGTAGGCTTTTAATTTCATGGAGCGTTTTTGCCAGAGAACTCGTATGAAGAGTGATATAGATGCAATCGGTATAATTACGAATGGTAATCCAACATTGACAATTGCTTCAATAGCGGGAAGTGTTACATGCTTATAATAACAGGGCCAAAGGCAGAATCGTCGAGAATAATCGTATGTACTTTCACAAGGATAGAAAACAATGGCTCCAATGTAGAAGAACAATGAATAGAGTGGGATCAAAATCATTGGAACATAGTGAAAAACGAGTCGTTTTACTGGTGAATTAATCAGATATGTATGAAAAATAAGAATATGTCGTTCGATAGAAGCAAATGCCATGATTAACAAGTTACTGACATTTATACTATAAAAAGAAATATTAGCATAGGAACAGAATAAATTCGATGGTGGCCAAGTATATGAACGACGCCAATAATCTTCGAGAATTCCCAAAACATTGATATTGAAGATAAGACTTATTACTAACAAGAGAAGAATAGTATGATTGGACAACGATTGACGCAAACGTGAATTGAATATTAAGTAATAGATGAGAAAGATTGCACAGAGACACGAAGGTACTTGAACAATAATAAAGATCGCCAATTTGAACCATTGATCATTTTCCATCATTGGAGAGGATATCATATCATCTGTAGAAGTATTCATCACAGAACTATTTTGATGTGCTGCTAATTGTGAAGAACTGTCAAGAAAAAAAAAATGTCCTTTGTTTAATGTAAAGATACAATTAGAGCATGATAAACTCGATGACTGGAAGGGTGTGGGTGTGGGGTGTGGGTGTGGGGTGTGGGTGTGGGGTGTAGGTGGGTGTGACTCTGGATGTAGATGAAGAAAATACCACACGCACACGCACACGCACACCCTAGTACTCACAAACTCTGATTATTATCATTTAAAAGCATATTGTCGAATATTTTAAAATAATCTAGTTGAAAAAACAAACCATCACTCACATAAATTAAAAGTATAACAGTTTTTATAACGGTCACACATAGTTTGAAATTTTCTCATTGCAAATATGTTCGCATTTGAAATTACTTTTTTTTCTTAATGTAATTTTATTTACTTAACATTATTATGTTGTAAAAAGTCACTTGCATTATCAAATACATTCTTAGTATATCAATTCTGTTGTTCTAATGATAATATACTCATGACAAACGCTAGAGAAAATAAAAGATGTAATCTTACTCTACATGTTGTCATTCCACTGGCATTTAAATCTGTTGTAAATGTTAGCCGTATCGCTCACTACAATACCGCACATATTATCTTTTCTCTCGACAAATTTCAACACATACTGTTGAGTTTGCTCTCTAGTTAGAAATATGAAAAACTATATTCACTGCATTTATCAAAAACAAAATTACAAACTATAGATTTTTAGAATAATCTAAACACTACTATTTGTTATGCACGATTTCCGTTGTTATGGAAACATAGATATACGTGAATATTTTACAATAATAATAAGAAAATTTAGTTATGCTAATCATTTATACATATGTAACAGTTGTGCATCCAGTAGATAGTTTCTATTATTATTTGAAATTCAATTGAAATAAATATCCATGAAAAGGTCAGAGAAAATAAGAGAAGGTTATATTTAGTCGATGAAACTACCAAAAAAGCAACTTCTCATAGTATAGATGTAGTTAAAGACCTGACATTTTCAATGATTGAAAGAAAATATGATAATGTATAATAGAATAAAATTACTTTGAAACCAATGATTTTCAAGTATCACTTAAAAATGAATGAGTATAATTTTATTCAGGAATAACTTAAAGTAATAAAAATAGGATAAATCTTTGCATTTATAAAATAAAGATTTATTTCTCTCAAATATCAATACAGAATAACCTAGTATAACAAAAAGACATGAGAATAGACATTCTTATCGTGAACATCAATTCGACACATTATATTGTTATAAAATCAAATCTATAGATGAAATAATAACTTGTCTATGTATTTCATTTTCATCTATGACATCATAACTGTGTGTGAGCTATTCGCTAAAAAAAATTCATTACAATAGAAAAACAAACAAATTCTTTATTTTTTTCTCTTACGCTTGTTTTGTAAATATGAAGAGTGTGTTTACACCTATCTCATAAAATAACAATTCTACTTCAAAAAATTAATTTCGGAGATTATTTTATTACATTTTAACAGTGAACAAATTAAATTATCAATATGTTTGATAAAATGAACTATGTAATTTTTCTGATTTTGAAGCAAATTTTCTTACTTCTGATCATAATATCATCACAATGATAGACCATGCTCAAAATTTGGTTTAAATCTTTTATACGATTCATCAGTTTTAATGTGATATCATTTAGCCTATTTATTATCAAAAAAGAACACGTTTTCATACTTTTTTTCTCATTTTCTGAAAAACATTAACTAATGATTATTTCCACACTCAACTCATCAAATTTCTAACATGTCATATTCAAGCATCGAGTTGACACTAGCAAAACTATAACGCAAGTTCCTAGATCATGTATGCCATTATGTCATTTTCTTTTCTTTCTATGTGTATAGTACTGTTTAGTGTTGTATACAAGCAATAAATCTTATCGTTTTCTTATATTATACTTCACTTCATCACCACATGCTTGGCATCATTAATTTTTTTTTTCTAAAAGATTCGCATAATTAAATCTTAAAATAAGAAAACTGCAATGGCTCATTTGTTTTATTCAAAGCATATCGTTTAGGATGATCGTTCTGTGTCGTACATTTATATATAACTAAGTCAAAACGAAATAATTTTTTTAACCTATGGTATGAATATAATTATTATCTCTTATCTAAATGCATATGATGGTTTATGCGAGACTTACTTTAATAGTAATTAATTTTAATAGTGATTGTTCAAGTTTGATACAAAAGTCGATACATATAATGTTGGGTGAATGTGTTTATTTGAAACTGCCACAAGGACACCATGTGTTTCAAGCTAGTTTTTTTTCTTCCATATAATGAATTATAATAGAATGACGAGCGTACAGATAAAGCTTTATCATATGAATGTTTGAATATACTTCCACATGGACTTGATGTTTATTTCGTAAAAAAATCATCTTTTGTTAATGTTTTAACACGTTTAACTGCATGAATAAGCATGCCAGTAAAATAAAGAAGTTTCAAACCATTTTGACATCGATTGCCCTTTTGAATAATCAATTCAACTTGTCTTTTCTCAATCCATTCTTACTTTTTCTCAATTCTAATACTTTATTATATATTCTACAGATTTTTACTTAGAAGAAGAAATCGATGGAGATTTGTTATTGAAATTACGCTTTGAAGAAATTAAATCTTTATTTCCCAAGTTAAAAGAAAGAACAGTATTTATGGATGAACGTGAAAAATTGTCATCTAAGCCATTCAATAAGAAAATTCAATCAAATTCATCATTAACAGATGATGATGATGGTCAGGAAGAACATTCACTATTAATTGATGAATATATGAAATCTTCTGATTGTATTCCATTTGTTGCAGAAATTGTCATAGAAAATACCGAAGTTCCATCATCTAATTCAAGTAATAATCATTCTGATAATGAAGAAGACGCTGATCAAGTAAAAGAGATTGAAATTAAACTTGAGGGCGATTATGAATTACCACCACTTCCAGCTGACTGAAAATTTGTTGTTGATCAAAAGGATTTGACAAAACTCGTTGCTCATGGTCATTTGAGAAGAGTATTATTGAATTTAGTCTTTGATGATATTGCAAATAAACATCATTTGTTGTAAGTGATGGTTGATTGCATGTCTTTAATTTCTATTTTGAACATGTAATTGTTCTCTTTTAGATATCCAAAATCACGAGATTATCTTATTATAACAAAAGCTGTATTACGTTCACTAAATATTCCGATAGATGATACAAATGCTTTGGTAAGTTTTCGAAACGCATTCTTGTATTGTCTATGACGATTCGAAGTTCTATTCTTTTAAATATCATGGAAGAGGTAACGGCTAAAACACTAGTAAAAAGATTCGTTTCGTCTTTTTCTATTTAGATTGTGCACATTGATGTTGTTTCTTTTTTTTTTATTGTATTCAATTTTTTCTTGTAGAATGAATATCGAGAATCTATCAAACAAAAATTCAAGAATGAACGAAAACCATTACAATATGTCAATCCACAAGTTCAACGAAATAAAAATAAGTTTGGTAAAGGTCTTGGAAAATCAATAAAAAAAAGTGATCTAGTTTCAGCCGAAAGAAAGACTGAAAAATTCGTTAGTTATTTTCATTTTCTTTCTTGAGTGTCTTTTTAATTATATAATATATTTTTTTCCTTTCTCTTCCAGATGTTCATTGGTCGACTTGATGATGAACAAGACGTGTTGAAGCTTAATCAGATGTTGAAAGATGAATTTAATAAACAATCATTCGATATAGAAGCATTAACATATATGTGGAAGAAAACGTTTCCTTCTCGACGACTACTTACACGTAATCATCCGATTAAAGAAATATTGTCGGAATATCCGACTTATTCATTACCATGTTTAGTAAGCTGCGTAAAAATTTTATTATCATCAAGATTAATTCATCTTTTATCTTTTTTCAGATTTTTGAAGAGGTGCGAATGACAACTGACATAGATATTGAACTTAATGTAGAATTATTTTTGCCTGATTTATTTGAGAAATTACCAGATAATTCAATGTTTATTTCAGGTAAAAGAATATTTAACTAGCGAAAATGATGTTTACAGTTGAATTTATGATTTCTTCTAGATGTTTTGCCAATCCGAGAAATAAAACTATTATTTCAGTATTTCAAAGATCCCATATCATATGTTTTAACAGGAAAAGTAATATTGACTTTATATTTTAAATTATATAAGAAATATATCAGTGGCATATATATCAATTTTTAACGTCTTCAAAAACTTCGAAACTCATCATATTTCTTTTTTTCTTTTAGGATCCAATAACACCAACGCCTTGTATTAAAATGCTAGACGATAAATACGAGTTATATCTTGATTATCAGCTCATTGTACACACAACGTCTGCCCAAGAGGCAATTGCAATTCTACTTGGTTTATATAATATTTTCGAAATAAAATTCACACGTCATTCTCGTGGTGTTCCATTATTGTATGGAATAATTTTTCAAGATCAAAATGAACTTACTAAGTCATTGAGAAAGATCCTTTTATCATGGGAATTTATAATCAAAAACAAATCAATTGTTCATCAACATCAGAGTACAACAACAGTAAACAATGGTGGTATGACTCAAAGCACAACATCAATTGAAACAAATGTAAATGATTCAAATGAAGATGATCCAAATAAAAATGGTCCAAATGAAAATTATTCGAATATAAATCATGTTAATCAAGAATCAACAATCAATCATTCATTTAATCATAACAAGATTTCAGTAAGTCTTGAAAAATACTATAAAATATTCATTCTTTAGAAACGTACTTCATTAACTAGAAGGAAATAATTTTGCAATGCCTATTCAAATTTTCGATTTATTATTTTGACAATTTCTCTTTAACGATTATTTTATATTTTTCTATTGCATTTCATTTTAGTTGATGGAGACGATACATGTACAGTATCAATTACAACAGAACCCATGGTGTAAATTTCTGCGAAAAAAACGCGTTCTGAAAACGCATTTTTCCATAGCTGCGAAACGCGTTAATGCTGACCGGTTTGACGCGTTTCACATCTGCTAAAACAAACGCTGTGTAACGATTGTTTTTGTGAAAAATTTCGCAGCGTTTCTCAAACTGTGGTGTCGTAAATTCTAGATGGAAAAAAAATTGAAAATCGTCAATGACTTCATAGATCTTGAATTGCAGGTACAATTTATGTATTCGTTTACATTTTTTCATAGGCCTTTAGAACTATAACTTACATGAATTTTGATGCAGTCAAGACACGGATTCGAACACAAGAACATAGGAGTATAAGACATGTATACAAACCGTTCAACTAAAATAATCTAATGATATAAGTGTTTATTCTACTGTCATTTAGAGTCCCGCGTAAACTTACTAAATTAGATTTTCAGTTTCCATTCCACTGAATTAAAAATTATCATTTCTTTGGTGCCTATGTCCAATTACGAGTGTGGTCTTTTCTTGATACATTTTTTATTTAAACTCTTTCAGATTTAAATTTAGATACACAATAGAAACGAATTTAATCGATTTACACTGTATTTAACATATAAAAAATTAAATTTCCTATATATAAATTTTAAAAAATTTAAAATTTAATCTTTTATTTATTTTCTTGATTAATAGATTTTTGTAAATGTAAATCCGTCATCGCTTTATCCAATTACATCAATAAATGAAAGGAGTTTTCTTTTGTAAATCGAATCTCTTTTATTAAAAAGTCACTCTTACTTCAACAATGTACAAACTAAAATCATGTTTATTAGTATTGTACACAGTATCATTAGTTATTATCAATTAGTTCGAGTATGAACTCAAACTAATAATTATTCAAATTATAGATAACGCGATAATTCTTTTGTTCACAAATAACCAAAGAGAGTTGCTATATCAATTATATTAGTATCAGTCTTTACTAAATCTTTTCGAAATGCTCAATATTTAAAACGACCTGTCCACGTAAAACGTGATTCCGTCACGCTTTATTTGTTTTATTTCAAACAATTGACTCGATCTCTAGAATCCAATGCATTTGCAATCTTAGACAAAAAATTGTGCTTGTCAAAATGAGACACTGCAAATTTGTCTGTAACTTCTGATTCATTACAAACGAGCGTGGCGGAATCATCTCCCTCCGTGGACAAGTCGAAAACAATTCTTAAGTAAACCTTACGAAGCACGTTTTCTTTCAATAAAAACGTGGTGAAATGAGTTTTTAAGTAAGAAGAATATATTTTTTGTTACACTTTGATGTTTTACTTTAGTCTAACTTCGAATTAGGTCTAGATAACAGCCTAGCAGCCTAAAAATTTCCAAGACTTTGATTTTAGTCTTGCCTTCATAAAATCCTGGGTCATGGTTTTCACGTACAAAAATAGTGCAAGGAGCAAAACTTTCAAATGCTATTTCATAACATTTCCAAAGTAATTTTAAAGAATTTACTTTTCTTAACTCCTATGCTTTGTGTTGGTGAATTTCTGCAAGATTCTGTATGCAGAATGGATATATTTTGCATCATTCCAAGCAAAAACAATGCAACACACATTTGAAAAAGAAACGCGTCTTATGTTTCCCCCAATTTGTATCTGTGAAACGCATCGCCTGTCGACCAAAGTGCGTTCGACAGCATTTTAATTCGGAAACGCCTCGAAACGCAATCTTGAAAAAAGCGTTTCGGATCGTTTCAAAAAACGACTGTGGCAAAACGCATTTTATGTAAGTAAGAATGCTGCGAAACGCGTCCTATATTGCAAAAACGTTGCGAAACGCATGCTACAATCTCGGAAACGCGTTACGCAGTCCGTTTCCTTCAATTTTTTACTCCATGGGAAAATAGAGCTTTATCATCGAGAAAACAATGCACAAAACATGCTGTCGATGAAAATATTTTTCAAGTAACTGAGACAAGTTCTTTTGATACTATAACAACAGTTATATCATCACAACCTTCAAAAAAACGTAAACAAGCAACATTTCATAATGAAACAACAACTGTATCATCCCAGCCGTCAAAAAAACGTAAACAAACTACATATCATGATGAAACAACAACTGTATCATCACAGAATTCAAAAAAGCGTAAACAAACAACATCTCATAATGAAACAACACATTTATCAACTCGTCTCCAATCAAAGAGATCTCGTCTATCATAGTACTTGAATTACTTAATATTGAAACATTACTTTTTTCTTGTAGTTCGTTCTTTTTATGTCTTTTGATATTGTAAAAATGAGGTGTATGTAATTAGTTTGATATTTTGTTTGTTATTGCCCTCCTTGCACAATATGACATTATAATTTTCGAAAGAGTATTTGTCTCATCAAGTCTTCTTTCCTTTAAGTTCCATTCATGTTATAATCATTTTCTGAAATACAAACCGAAAAGAATGAAATATTACGTCTTTTATATTTTCACTCATTCTGATGGTATATCACTGCTAACTTATACACAGGGTGGGCCAAAAGTAAGTAAACAAAGAAATAATTTTTTGATTTTTTCCTTCATACACTATGATATAGATCTCATACTTATACCACATATAGTACGTGAGATAAGTGAAAGATATAGCATATGAACGATATCCAGATGTACTGGTTTGTCCAAAAACGAACAACTGCAAGATAACCAACAGAAAATTAATCATGTGTTCTGACTGTCATAACACATTTTATTCTATTTCTTTTGGTAGTGCTTTTACCTGTTAATAGTGACATCTGCTAGATAATAACACGTACGGTTATCTCTTATATCACCCCATTTATAGTCTTATTTAAAATATTATTTTGGGTATTTTCGGTTCTCTTCGTGCTCTCTGTTATGTGTGTATTTTTAAGAGTGTTTTTTCAGGTTTTTTACGATGAGTGGAAGTTTTCGATTATCCTCATCCGAAAGAATTAATGTCGTAAAGTGGTATGCTCAGTACGAGAATGCTGGCGACGTTGCTCGTTAATTCGAAGAGCATTATAACCGATCTCCTCCAACACGGAAGACTATTTTGACTATTGCACGAAAGTTCGATGAAATCGAAACTATCGAAGATGAACCTAGATCTGGACGACCTAGATCTATTAGTACCGACGCAAACAGAGAACGCGTTCGTGTTGCTTTCGAAGAAAATCCTGAAACGTCAACAAGAAGAGCTTCTTTGGAGCCAGATCTATCCAGAACCAGTCTTCGTCGAATGATGAAAGAGCTCGGGTTGAAACCATATCGTCCTCAATTATTGCATGCCTTAAGCGAGGATGATCCCGACAGGCGTTGTGAATTTGCTGATGTCTTTCTTCAGTTAGCCGCTGATGATTCTTCGTTTCCTGATCGAATACTTTGGACTGACGAAGCTATTTTCAAGCTAAATGGACATGTTAATCGACATAATTGCGTCTACTACGCTGTTGAGAACCCTCACATCGTCATTACTAAAGAAATAAATGCTCCCGGTATTACTGTATGGGCTGGCATTTGGTCTGGAGGTCTTATTGGACCGTTCTTTTTTCATGATTCCGTTACTGCAAACAGTTTTCTCGAAATGTTAAAGAAAGAAATTATTCCTGCTATTAAATCTCGAATGAATTTACAAGAAATGTTCTACATGCATGATGGAGCTCCATCTCATTATGCTCAACCTGTTCGACACTTCTTAGATAAAACTTTTCGTAATCGGTGGATTGGTCGGCGAGGAGCAATTGAATGGCCAGCACGATCTCCGGATCTCATTCCAACAGACTTTTTTTTATGGGGCGTAATCAAAGATTATGTGTATGCGAAAAAACCTCAAAACCTTCAAGCACTTAAGAATGCTATTGTTACAGAAATGCAAAGCCTGCCAGCTGAATTATGTCGAAAAGCTTGTCAAACAGTACCTTACAGACTTCAACTCTGTAAAGATAATGAGGGAGAGCATATTGAACAATATCTCTGACTGCTTTCTGTCTGTAGTTTTGAAAAAAAATTGTATTGAAACTTAGGCATGTTTTTTTTGTTGATTATATTGTAGTTGTTCGTTTTGAATAAATCGGTACATCTGGATATCGTTCATATACTATATCTTTCACTTATCTCACGTACTATATGTGGTATAAGTATGAGATCTATATCATAGTGTATGAAGGAAAAAATCAAAAAATTATTTCTTTGTTTACTTATTTTTGGCCCACCCTGTAGGTTGAAAAATTTTTCTTTCTTTCTTTCCTATTTTAGTCCCTCTAAGTGGTATATTAATACCAAGTTATATATTAGAAAACAAAAACATCTTTTCTTTTTTTCTTTGAGTCTATATTCTTGCTATGACAAAGAGGAGTAATATACTAGAAACCAAAAAAAACATCTTCTATTTTTTCTAAAGATTCGCATTGATGGCATATTAATCGTGACTTAGAAATTTGAAATAAAAATATTAATATTTTCTTTTTCTACTTAGATTCATACGGATTTCATATCAATAGTGAGTTATTTATTTGAATTGAAACAATGAATAGTTTTTCCCTTTACATTTAGGTTCGTCTTGATGGCAGAGTTATCAATGGTGAGTTATATATTTGAACTAAAATAATGAATACTTTTCCTTTTATATTTAGGTTGGTTCGAAAACTGCTTCTGACTTTTCAAAGGTACGTATTCTTACACTACGACAAGAGTTTGCAATGATTAAACTTCTGCAAAGGTGCAGAACCTGTTGTTACAGGGTAGCAACAGTTTTGTGAAAAACCCTCTGAATATGGCGCCTTTTGTGTGAGACAGAACCATTTTTAATAGAGAACTATAAATGGTTCCATTAGTTTTATGCCGAACCCCTTTTACACTGAACCACTTTTGATAAGGAAGTAAAAATGGTTCCGTTGGTTTTTCACGGAACCCTCCTTCAGCCAGAACCTTTTTTAGAGGTTCTGTGGAGTACCCACTAGCAGAACCCCAAAAAAGGTTCTGCAAAACTCCTTTTTTTTAGAGAGTATAATGAAGGAATACGAAAGCAACAACAACAGCAAATCGTTCAACAAACTGCTCCACAAATAGAGTAACAACCTGTTACAACAGCTATTTTCGATTAGGAAAGATGAAGAATACAATTCCAAGAAGAGTGAATATTGTATGTTTAATTAAGCATATATCATGCAACTTTGGTTTTTCTATTTAACTGGAAGTTAAGAAAAATTTGAAATTCTTTTTTTTTCAACTAAACGATGGTTTATGAAACTTTTTTTTTCTCTTGTTCTCGTGAGTGAGATTTTTTTCTTGACGAAACTAGTATTTGAATATGTTAAGATATTGAAAGGCAAAAATTATAACATATGAATGTTTTCTTATATTATTAAGCTGTGTTTACATTTTTTACTTTAGCTGTATATTTTTTTTGTATTTTGTTGTCTTCTTTTATGATCACACGAAAATAAATTAGTAAATATGAAGAAAGATTGGTAATGCTAGACTCAAAGAAACAACATGCTGCAATAAATACAATAGGAAGAGAAAAAAATGGAAAACCTAATTGTAAACGGAGAAAATAAGCTGATTTTAAGAGAATATACTGCAGCAAGACGGTGAAATATGGTTGGCCGTATTCTATCTGTAATATATGGGAAAACTGGAAAATACGGACCGTAAAACTGCGTCCATTCATACGGTATGATACGAACCAATTACGGTGCGTATTGACACCGTTTACTTCCGTCAAGTCTCCGGTTTTTCACCGTTTACTGACCGAAAATGGACCGTAAACAGTATCCGTTTTGATCTACCTGGGGTTACACATGGGTGAGCTTGTGACACAGTAGAGATGCAAGAATTGTAATAGGCCTCGATGAGTTATTGAAAAGTATTATTATCAGTCATGCCAAAGACTGTCGCATATGCGTGAATTTCAGATAAACAAGCATGTACTGATTATTCGAAACTAGGAACATGAATAAGTTACTAGAAAAGTTACCAAACATGACGCATCGGTACGTTACACAAGTAACTTTCAAGAAAACTGTATGAACGAGATATTTGTCCGCACACCATGAAAAGTCCTTCTGGGAAACAACTCGAACGAATGCCTTGTAAAGTGTATTTAAACGTGATTTGTTCACTTTTTTCTGTTGTAGTGTTTATCATTGCTGGAATGAATCTTCTTTTCTCTTCCATTCTTTTTTGTCCTTGAAGCACGCGTCATTAAGTTTTTTTGATGTTTTCGGTGTTTCACCTTTTCGATTTTATCTGTTCTTGTGCTTATGTTCAAACTTTTCGTACTGCAAAGCTCCGATAAGTAAATCTTAATAAAGATTACGAAATGCATTGACAATTGAAATCTACATTCCTTTTCTTTATGTCACAGTACACGAAATGTTAATTTTTTGGCTGTCAAATAGTCGATTGCTGAAAAGGAAGAGTTGAAATCAGCAGATTTTATTTGTTTTCGACTACTTGAATGTGGTTTTTTGTCTTTGTTAAAAGTTTTATATTGTTTTCACTTGCGCATTCGCAACCGAAAACTCATTCAATTATTTGCTGGTGGATGATTTCTGATATTGAAGAAATTCTCGAGTCTTGACAGCAGTATGACAATATCGAACATCAGTGAGCCCATAAGAAGATATGTGCATGGCGTGGAGCAGAATTATCATTGTTGTCAACCTATTTATAGAAAGGAAAATAAATGAGAGTAGAAAGATAGAGATACCACTTTTCGCATGGTCGAACTAGTTTTTGTGATGCATAACTGAATCTAGTTGTCAGCAATGTCTGAACAAATAAAACTAAAAAGAGCTTTCATGTAGCGCCGACTCACACAGTTTTCTAACGAGTATCTACCATTACTTAAGAATTTCGGTTTTTTAGCCACAGAATAATTTGCCTTTATGGTAATTTTCAAATAATAATAAGTCTGATCAAACTATTTTATTCAATACTTGACAAAAGTTGAAACCAGTCATAACAGAACGTACTCGCATCATTCTCAAATACTCTCTTCTCGATTGATTTTCTTGGACTTTCTGTGATCTTGTAAAACAAACTCCGACATCTTCTTCATATCGGCAAAGTTCATGAATGGGCCCTCACCTAGATGTGATGCTCTTCAGAAAAAATAGTTTGAGTGAGACTACAAAACATACTATATACAATAAATGGCAATTTTGTTAGATATCGGACTCAGAAGGAAAAAAAGTCGGTTCTAGTTCTTATCTGTGAGAAGAATGTCAAGTTAGACTTCAAGTGATACCAGCAACGTTGACCAGGAGTATCATGAGACCTCAAAAGAATGGAAATATAACTTAAAATATTGCTTTTAAGCTACTTTCAATCAAAATTGTGCCGTATTCTCTTGTATTTCCTTTTCTTGAAACATTGTCACATAACAAGCAATTATTAATGTGCAGAAAAATATTGTCAAGTAATCTTAATCTGACAAATGATTTCAACAATATTCATGTTAATTTATGCGTAAAACTCACAAAGAAATATCACTTTCAATTTTCTACAACATTTCAGTATAACAAGTGAGACATACGTCTTATGATAGCCATATGTAAATTAATTTCTCAAATTAAAAAATTTATGCATTAGTCTGTTAGGGTTGCTTAAGGTGTTTTTTCTTGAAAAGTAAAAAGTTCATACGATGTCTACAAACTATACAGATGAATCGTCGTTCGATAATACAGATATTTCTACTCCTCCCTCAGTTCGTTTCTGGTTATTTCTTTTTTTCAATACTTTATCACTAGCATTCTCTCTCCTACAGCTTTATCATATGCTTACCAAAAGTGCCCTACGTCGTACATTAAGTAATCATTCAATTATTGCTATTCTTTTTGGCGCACTCGGCACTCAACTCATTGATGTTCCATTCTATATGAATTATACTCGTTTGGGCTATGTTTGGCCTCAAACACCGCTTGTTTGTCAACTTTGGTGGTATGCTGATGTAGGAACTTTCGAAGCAACACTCATACTCATTACTTGGATGTCACTCGAAAGACATATTCTTATTTTTCATGACCGATTGTTATTAACTCGGAAAAACCGATGGCTCTTACATTATCTACCATTAATCTTTTTCAGTCTCTACCCGCTGCTATTTTATTTACTAGTTCTAACCTTGGTTACATGCGATGGTCCTAATCCATATGATTACACACAAGCATGGTGCAATTTTAGCCCATGCTATTATAACAATCAATTCCTTACTTTATGGGATTCAGTGGTCAATGGATGTTTATTCAACAGTCTCGCTTTTTTCTCTGATATCGCACTTATCATAAGAGTTGTCCGGCAAAGACATATTCGATTACGGCAAGCAATACAGTGGCGAAAACATCGTAAAATGGTTATACAGACATTATCAATTTCAGGTGTCTGCGTGAGTTTTTCTACCGCTCTTTTTATTTACTATGTATTAAACATTTTTGGAGCATTACCAGTTAATATAGATCCTCAAGTAATATTATATTTATTGGTACTCGATCTATTTTCAATGTTATTGGTGCCAATCTTCATGATTCTTACACTTTCTAAAAAATATTGGTGGGAAAAATGGGGAATGATATTGTTTGGTGAACGACAGCAGCGACGAGTTCACAATAACGCATAGATGGTAGCAATGATTACAAATCGAACAACCAAATCACAGTGAGGGTGTGGGTGTGTGGGTATGGGTGTGGGTGTGGGGTGTGGGTGTGGGTGTGTGGGTGTGGGTATGGGTGTGGGTATGGGTGTGGGGTGTGGGGTGTGGGTGTGGGTGTGGGTGTGTGGGTGTGGATGTGGGTGGTGTGGGTGTGGGTGTGTGGGTGTGG